TTTATTTATTTATTTATTTATTTATTTATTTATTTATTTATGTGTGGGTAATTTCTGGTCAGGCACTTCCGGTCACTGGCTTGCTAACTAACTTTTCCTCATATTTTCCTACTCATAAACAGCCCTTGAAGTCACAACTATATAGAAAATATGACAGATTATTGTGACAATAATAAACTGTCCATATGAATGTCTTTTGAAGAATTATTTGAACGTTAACGATATCCGTTACATTAGTTCAAGCCCAGAAATTTAGCACTGCTTTCTATAATAAATAAATAGGCAGCAATCCAATCACATTGAGGCAACCGTTGGTATGTTATGGCACTGAACAAATAATTTATCAGCCTATCTTCCATAAGTTTGCCGCCGCATGACTGCAGAACKTACCCTGACCTGCGACACAGTCGTGAACATCAGACTTGCTTTGGCTTGGTTGAATCAGCCTTCATGAATGGCCATGACCATTCATGACCATATTGTTGATTAATATTTTGCCAACTTCTCCACTGTGGAGGTACTGATACGCCTCTGTACTTTTGTAATTGCATATTGTTGAGTCATCTGCACCAAGTGACAACACAATAGTTAAAAATGTCCTTGTACGTTACATGAGGCCATTTTTTTTCATATCACCCTCCCTCTGGAGAATAGTTTGAGGCTCTTTAGGATTGTTCRGCAATTTTTGGAAACGTTCCCACGACACAATTCACCGGTTTAGTTAACGTGCTATTAGTTAGCAGAGGAAAGCAGTGAAACAGAAGTGCCTCACAAAATAAATAAATAAATAAATAAAAACATTGGATCCATATCTTCTTTTTGTGTTGGAAAATAAGGTGGAAACCTCGAAACCAATAACTGGCCCATGTCTTGTTCTGAGTGTTGGGTCTCCTGTTTGTTGGCTCCAGAGTTTGACTAAATACATCCTCCCCCTTCGTGCCATTGCTAGAGCTGAATTCCACTTCTCTCCTCAGTTCAGCTGTCATCACATGATGAAAGTGTGTCATAACTCAGGATTAATGTGCAGCAATGTTAATTGAAGCCTCATGTTGTGTCTCTGTGCCTGTTTTCCTGTGAAAGCATGACTTGGTGTTGTGTTGTTGGGTCTGTTTCAGATTTTAAAAAAATACTGACAACTTTCCTTATTTTGCTATCTACCTCCTTTTTTTTTGTCTTCTGCTTTGTGCCCCTGCAACGCCTCCTTGTCCCAGGTGTAAACAGGTGCACGCCCCCCTCATACCCGCCCCCGCAGGACCCCCTCAGCGCGGGGCAGTATGAAGTAACGGAGGACATGGCACAAGGAGAAGTTTTTGAATTCAGTCAATCCAAAAGAGGCCAGGCGCCTTTCTGGCAGAATTTTAGTAGATTAGCTCCATTTAAGAAATAGAGACACCAGACTCTTCTGAAGGACCAGCTATTTTTCTTAGAAGCACTAAACACTGGATGATATCGTCCCACGATGAAGAAACTACAGAAACCACACCCCACACACGAGACTTTGAAGTTAAGGACCAATGTTGTCGCATCATTTGATGGGGAAACACCAAGTGGAGACTTGGATTTAAACGACAACAACTTTACAATTCGTATTTGTTAGTAACGTTCTTAGTTATCACGCTTCTCCTGCTGACTCATGAACTCTTTCCCCTGGAATTCTGCACATTCATCTGAATGTTCTGGAGTTACATATTGAGATTGTCACATGGTTTGATTTTGATTTCATCATCTGGACAAAAGGAGGGAAACAAAAAGAAGGGGGAGGCCCTGCCAGGTGGCCTTTTTTTTTTCTTTTTTCTTTTTTAAATTTTTATTGTGAGATTATGTCTAGAAGCTGAGATGTGCTGCTATGTGAGATCGTTCTGAGGGATGTGTCATGTTCAGGAGCTTCTGGGCTTCAGAGGGAAATCATCCCATCSCTGAACACGGACTGATCGGGCCACTTCTGCTCTGCCGATGTCTGGATCGCCCTACTCATTTTYCCCCCCTCTAACAATGTGCACAGAATATCCCCCTCTCTCTTTCTTTCTTTTATTTCTAAAGTTGGTGTCAAGTCTTCCCTTTTTCCTCTCCATCCCCCGCCTCGATCCATCCGCTCAGCTTCTGCGGCCCCCCAGAGGAGGATTTTTCGTTCTCCTGGAAACCTGCCGTTGGCCGTGATACAACGGGTCAGGGAACAAATCAATAGCGGGGACATCAATTGAATATTTACATCCGTTCACCCAACCACTCGTGACAGGGTATCCACATCCCGCCGACGCTCGGCGCGCTCCGTGCGGAGAGCTGAAACATCTGGGAGCAGGAGATATGCTGGTTCTGCTCCACCTGCTTTTTGTGTCACAGTCCCACCCCCACTCCTCCTCCTCCTCCTCCTCCTCCTCCTCTCGTAGCACTGTGCTGGCAGCTCACCGGGTGTTTTGGAAAGAGCACAGCCTACCTCTAAGAGTGAGCAGTAAAAGTCAAGTTGATGCATCGGCCAAGGTCTGAAAATCATTTTGGTTATTTTTTATGTCTGCTCAAAATCAAGCAAACAAACAAAGACTCGATGATTTTGTAGTGTTCTCACTGTAAAAAAAAAAAAAAAGGACTGACATCTTTTGCTCTCATTTCGAGTACGAGCCGTTTGCATTTGTGAGGACCCCAACCAACCCTCAGATTATTTATTTCTCTTTTATAAAGCCAGATAGACGAGGAGTGAGAAAGGTGAATTTGAGCTTTAGCGCGCAGAATCTCTTCAAACCTTGGCTCACCAAC